TTGAGAGAAATTCAGTAAAAACTTACAAATTGCGCAAAATTGTTCCACAAAAGACGAAGTATGAAAGTGATTAAGTTCGACTGGTTATAGTCGTCTACAGTGTCGACAAAGAACAGCTTGTACTCAGAAACACACAAATTTGTGCTAAAAAGGTGCAGTATAATGTTGACTACTATCATTTGGCCTTTTTGGCTCTGCAATGGGAAAGCTATGAACTCACTTGAAAATAACCATTAAGACTCGATTTTGACACTCCACACTCCCACTCGCTAACACATTTAGCAGTGTTTTGGCCGAATCAGACTTTCTAGCAATCTGAAAAATAAGCTAAAATTTTGAGTTCTAATCTTGATGAAGCGAAATTCATTGGGTTGAGCTAAGTAGGGCACTTAATGTTTCGAATTAGGGTGGAAAACAGCTTCTATTGAAAACGTTCTTTAATAACAGAAGAACTTCCAACCTGAACACATGCATTTCTTCCGCATTCGTCTTGGTTCCTCGTGAGATTGGCGAGGCAAATAAGTACATTATCAGTAATGGACACAATCAGCTGTCGAACGTTTGGTAGAGGAATAGTAAGATAGTTATTACGGTGATTGAGTACACTGAGCAATGTATCCGGAGCACGTTCTGCTACCATCGTTGTCTGTAAATAGTTAAGACTGTTCTTTGAACGGATTGTCGTAGTAAAATGATGTCACAAGGTCCTAATTGACAGACAGCTTATATAGTTGTGCTTTCGTGCTAGTCCTACATCAAAATATATAGATTACCTTATTCCGCACGCTATTTGCTGAAACATTAAGAAGGAATGCCGTTCCATGATTGACTAGTATCGGATCGTGAGCTCCCATGAGTTGCAAAACAGAGATGATGGTACTGGTGATGTCCTAAACACAATAGAATAAGAATAGAACTGATGAGAAGTTGCGGGACTTGATAATCTGAATTGAAAAAGAGACCACATTTCTTACAACAATGATAAAGTATGTGTGGGCATGGTGTATGTGGTCGCTAAACGATTTAGAAAAAGTGTCGCACCTATTTGAACCTTCGGAGCTATGTTCACAATTTTGGAACACCACTGCTTACCTGAGACTCAAGTGCTTCTTTCAAGTCCCCTACAGCCGCCAAACAATGCAACAATTCGTGAAGAAGCATAGTTGAGCCATGTGACAAAAGGTTTCCAAAAATCTGAATTTAAAGGATATAACTGCGCGTACATGTAAATAAAAATCAACGCACCTGTACACCTTCGAGTCGCACAAACTCGATGCCATACTTTGCTGACTCTGTAGAGATTAGCGTTAGCAGCGTTGTTGCG